TGAAAATCCTAAAGGGGAAAACAACTCAAGAATCTTGGGAAACTCTAAAAAGTATGATCATAGAAGCCCAGACCAGCACAATACCACTGAGAAAGAAAAACAAGAAATCCAAGAAGAAACCAGCATGGCTACACAAAGATCTCTCTGGCAAATTGAAAGAAAAAAAGGACAAGTACAAAAAGTGGAAAGAAGGACATACAACTAAGGCAGAATATCAGCAGACAGCCAGAATCTGCAAAGATGAAGTCAGGATAGCAAAGGCTCAGAATGAACAAAGACTTGAAACAAAAGTCAAAGATAATAAAAAAAGTTTCTTCCAACATATAAATAACAAGAAAAAAATCAAGGAAACAGTCGGTCCACTAAAGAGAGAAGATGGCAAGGAAGTAACAGGCAACAGAGAGAAAGCAGAACTGCTTAACTCATTCTTTGCATCTATCTTCATGCAAAAAGAAACTATAGCTCAACCCACCAAAAACACAACTGTAATAAACAGACCAGAAATAAAACTTAAAATAAGCAAAAACAATAGTAAAAGAACACCTGTTGATGAAAACAAATCACTGGGGCCTGATGGATTACATCCCAGAGTTTTAAAGGAGCTGGCAGAGGTCATCTCAGAACCACTGCACCATGTCTTTCAAAAATCCTGAAGCACTGGAGAACTACCAGAGGACTGGAAAAGAGCTGATGTGGTTCCCATCTTCAAAAAAGGAAAAAAAAACAGACCCAGGAAACTATATAGACCAATCAGCCTAACATCAATACCTGGGAAGATACTGGAAAAGATAATAAAAAAACAGATCTGCCAACATCTAGAAACAAGTAAAGTAATAACTAGCAGTCAGCATGGGTTTGTTAAAAACAGATCATGCCAAACCAATCTTATTTCATTCTTCAACACAGTGACTAAATTAGTAGATCAGCAAAATACTGTGGACATAATATATTTAGATTTCAGCAAGGCATTCGACAAAGTAGATCACAACCTACTTCTTAGTAAGCTAGAAAAAAGTGGAATAGATAGCACCACCACTAAATGGATTCACAACTGGCTGGCAAACCGTACTCAACGAGTAGTCCTTAATGGGTCTAAGTCTACATGGAGGAAAGCAAGCAGTGGGGTGCCACAAGGTTCTGTCTTAGGTCCAGTACTCTTCAATATCTTCATTAATGACTGAGACGAGGGAATAGAAGGGGAACTTACTGAATTTGCAGATGATACTAAGCTGGCAGGAATAGCTAACACCCAAGAAGATAGGCTCAAGAGTCAGATGGATCTTGTCAGACTAGAACACTGGGCCATATCTAATAAAATTAAATTCAATATAGAGAAAAGTAAAGTCCTACACTTAGGCAAGAAAAACCAAAAGTACACATATAGACTGGGTGAGAGAGATCTTGGAGTCTTAGTGGACAACCAGCTAAATATGAGCCAGCAGTGTGCAGCAGCCACCAGAAAAGCTAATGCAATCCTAAGTTGTACTAACAGAGGGATACAGTCAAGATCAAGGGAAGTACTAATACCACTCTATAAAGCCTTAGTAAGACCACACCTAGAGTACTGCATCCAGTTTTGGTCACCACATTATAAAAAAGATGTTGAGACACTAGAAAAAGTACAGAGAAGAGCAACCAGGATGATTAGGGGACTGGAGGCTAAAACATACAATGAACAGTTGGAGGAACTGGGCTTGGCTAGTCTAGTAAAGAGAAGGACCAGGGGAGACATGATAGAGGTCTTACAATATTTGGGGGTTGCCACAGGGAGGAAGGGGTCAAGCTATTTTCTAAAGCTCCTGTAGGCCAGACAAGGAATAATGGATAGAAGCTGAACAAGGAGAGATTTAACCTGGAAACAAAGAGAAACTTTCTGACAGTGAGAATAATCAACCAATGGAACAGCTTGCCCTCAGAAGTTGTGGGAGCTTCATCACTTGAGATTTTAAAGAAGAGATTGGACTGCCATTTGTCAGAAATGGTGTAGGGTCTCCCGCTTGGGCAGGGGGTTGGACTAGATGACCTATAAGGTCATCCCTTCCAACTCTGATTATCTGTATCTGTATCTTAAGGTTACAGCTTTAAACGATGTGTTTTGTTTTTTGTATGTGTCTCTTTTATTCATTTATTGATTATACTTTTGATTGACTGTACAAATAATTTACTGAACTCCTTCCTTGGAACTTTATACATAGGAGATTAACTGCCTGACCGTTACACTATTCTTGTGTATTGTGTGTGCCTAGCTGGATTGCAAATGTATTCGTGTTACATATGTATTGAACCTAATGTGTTAAAATAAGAATGCACATGAAAACTGTCTCAGTCCATGATTGTACTGAGCATAGTCAGGTACCTATGCAGTTTTATACAGCACATTCACTCAACTACAGACCCTCCGGATATGCTGTGTTACAACTCACATCATTTATAGTCAACGGAGAAGATTCCTTCTTGGAAAAAATCTCACAGAGCACATTTATGCCACTTCTAATGATGCCTTGGGGACACTATGTAATCAATGATACCTTGGGGGCATTATGTCTGATATGTCAGTCATTTGTCAGATTATAAACTAGAACATTTCAGCTAGTTACTCAAGCTGTATTTGTGTATTTATTAAAACATCTTTGTGCCACAGGTTTTTAGGAGTCTGTGCACTGGCTCATACAGGCATACATACCGTTCGTTTTTCCCATTTTTGAATGCAATTGGCTCTTGACTTATCCATATATGCCAATTATTTCATTATCACAATATAATAGCATTACACAGTTGGAGGGGAGATCTGTTAATCCAGCCCTGCCTATTTGTCATCCCCAATGGCTATCCAAATCTTTGCTTGAAAACCTCCAGTGACTGAATCCCAGGACTTCAGGAAAGAGGTGGTTTCATTGCTTGACACAGTAACTCTCAGTCAGAAAAGTCCTGGTAACAGATAATCAGAGTTGGAAGGAACCTTGTAGGTCATCTAGTCCAACCCCCTGCCCAAACAGGAGACCCTACACCATTTCTGACAGATGGGAGTCCAATCTCGTCTTTCCTCATTTTGAGTAAGAATTTCCCTCCTAAAGCTTCTAACCATTTTCCTATCTTTCTAGCCTTAGGTGCCACATCTTGTTCCCTGTGACCGACCCTCAAATATTGGGAAAGTGCTTTTATGTTCTTCCTTATTCTACTCTTAATTGGACTAAACGGCAATGTCTGTTTATTTGCGGCTCCTGCAAACAGACCCTCTGCATGACCATAGGCAGAACTTGTTAAACACCTTAAAACCCCATGGGGAGTCAGTTCAGACATGCTGGATCGAATTCACACCCTACATGAAACCTGAAATCCAGATTAACAAACCATAAGCACTAACTAGACTCACTTAAAATATTGTTCCCAAACAAATGAAAATGATGGCTTGACTTTCATGCAACATTCCTGGAGAATGGCTGGATTCCTAGACTTGCAGAACTACAAACTATAACCCTTTTCTGCAGAAACAGAAATCACGTGGAGCAAACACCAGGATTTTTAAGCTATGATGTACTAAATAAGCCATCATGACCTGATTCATACATACCATACCACAACTGAGAGCCAGGTTTGTTTAATGACAAAGGAGACTGTGAGCCCTAGTCCGTTGAAAGCCGGCTGGGTAGCTTTGGGCCAGTCTGCCTGTCTCAGCCCACCTCACAGGGTTGTTGTTGGAGGGAAAATAGCAAGTGTTTTAGGTGCATTATGTTTGCTGCCTAGAGTTGATTAGATAGATAACATCTAATAATAATTGTTAACGTTCACTTACCAATCAAGGTAAGATAAATGAATCCCACTTTGGCTTAGTGCACATCTGTGAACTGAGGGACCCATGGCTTTTCCATCCAGTGAATGAAATTTCAAAAGTACACCATATCTCAAACCCATGAGGGAGTTTCATTCCCACACTGTCAAGAGACAAGGTTGTTTAGGTTGTAGCCTCTTTCTTGTGATCACCTTGCTAACCAAAAAAGGTTATAACGAGTTGATTGGCAATACCTTTAGGCCAAAGACTGGTCAAGGTTGACCCCACTTTCCCTGTTGCCCAAGATACAATTCTGGTCACACCCATCGATGGGTCACCTGACCTCTTTGTGGCAGGACTCTCTTGGCTTAAAGAGGAAATACCGTTTTCGGGAAGATCAAAGACTGGGGAGGGGAGCTTAAATTTAGGGGCTGGGGAGTCGGACGATACTATCGTGAATAAGAAGGTTGGCAAGACGGGAGGGAAAAAAACTGTTTGAGAAAAGCGCCCCAGACTTTCCTGATAAAATATTTGCAGATTTCTAGAAATATTTAATAATAGTTGTGTGTCCCTTTAAAAAACAACTAACCAACAACGGCAAATCCCAGGTGGCCCAAACTAAAAGGAAGAGAGAGCCTCTGAGCATATGCAGCATGCCCCCTTTTCTCCTCCGCCCTGGGTAACAAATCCCCGCCCGCCCTCTTCCTTCCCACCCGCACTCGGGGGGTGGAAGGGAGGGGAAAAGGTGAAGGCGTCTTTCAGGTACGAAAGAGGGCGTGTTAAGCCTTCCGAGAAGGGGAGGGGGGGAGGGATTGTCCGCTGAGTCTCGACCCTCCGCTCTTCTTTCCCTCGCGCGGCCGCTTCCTTTGAAGGAAGGGAAGGGAAGCCCCCCCGCCTCCCACTCCCCTCCCGCCCCGTCCGCCAAGCACACCCTGTACAGCACGACTGCATGCGGCTCTCCTTCCAGCCGCCGAAGGGTTAAGGCAGGCGTCGGGGAGAATAACGCGCGCGCGCTCTCTCACACACACACACTCACACCCCGAGACACCACACCAGACGCTTTGGAGGTGTGCAGCCGACAGCCACGCTACGCTACAGCCGGCCTCTGCGCGTATGTATGTGTGTGCGCGCGAAAGCGGGAGACATAACACAGGCGGGCAGGAACCGCGGCGAGAGGGGATGAGGAGCCGTCAGGGGCAGGACGCGAGGAGGTAAACAAACAATAACCGCACCCCCCTCCCTCCCTCCCTGGTCCCTCCCGCCGCCTTCAGTCTCCGGCCGCCTTCTATGCTCGCCTCCCCGATCCCCCTCCTCGTTTCATTTGCCTGATCGAAAGCCCGGCAAAGGGTGGATTTTCCTCGGCCGGAGCCCACCCAGCGCCCTCAAGATGAGGTCAAAGAAAGCTCCCTTTCCCGATCGGAGATGGGGTCGGTGCTGGGAGTAAAGATCCTCGGCCGCCCTGGCTGCAACACACACACACACACACACACACACATATATACATACACACACACACACACACACACACACCCCATCTTTTTCTCCTGCCCAGCCTAGCACTGGATGGCAGAAAAAGCAAACTCAACTCGCTTATCCAGAGGGGGCAAAAAAATAAAAAATAAAAATCGTCTTGAGGAGAAGCAAATGGTAAGGAATCCTGCCCGGGATTTGGGCAGAGACAATGAGTTGTCTTAGACGGGAGGGAGGGTGTCTGCTCCTATTGTAGTTTCCAGCCCTCCCACCTTAAAAGTTTGCAAGAGAGGGAAGCAAAACGAAAATCACTTATCATCCATTGAGCCCCGGGAGGGAGGAGGAGGTGCGGTTTAGCCCTGGGGCTGGTCCTCCATCCATGCTCATAGGGCCTGGGGCGAGGGGGAGGAGATTGAAACTACACAAAGGGGGCAGAATTGGGCTGGGGAACCTTTGGCCTCCATGGGAATTCGCTAGCTTTGAGTCAAGCTTTGAAGGAGGGAGTGGGGTGAGGGGAGGGTCAGGGAACAGGAAAGGGCTTGGATTGAGAGCCTGTCCTTCATTTTAAAGCAGATAATCATGGTAATGAATGGTTTATTTCTGTAAAGTACCCCCCCACTTTTTTTTGCCCATGTTGTTCCCATTTTACAGATGAGATCTTGGCAAAGAAAGACAGGAATTTATTTACTGGGTGCCTCTGGGATCCACAACAAGATTGTGGCCCAGAAAGCAAGGCGTATTTTAATACATAAGGGAATGTCCAGAGGGTGGGAAGGGGGCAGGATGCAAACTCAGCTGGGTACTTAACTTTTACTTCCTCTGCAGGCCAGCACTCCCAAATTGTGTGCCAGCACCATTCCAGTCTTTTGCAGGGCCTCTTTAGATCACATTTTACAATGACCTGTGTAAACAACATTTGTGAGCTTCTGAATGGACATAATATAAGACAGGGGTCCCCAAACCTGGCAACTATAAAACTTGTGGACTTCAACTTCCAGAACTGGCTGGAGAATTCTGAAGTCCACAAGTCTTAAAGTTGCCAAGTTTGGGGACTTCTAACATAAGGGCAAGTTGGCTGTGCTTTCCCACAGGGAAGGACCTCCAAAGAAGAGAAGATTTATCCCCTGGAATCAACAGACACTTAATTAGATGACATTTGGGGTGATTTTTGAGGGATCTCTAAGTAGATCTATAGGTAACCTCTTTTCCTGCCCCTTCCGGTACAGAGCCAAGAGGTGGTGGCCGTGGCTTGGTTTGGGCTAATAGCTCTCTGGCGTGAGCAACTTTGAACCCCAGAGCTTGAGTGAAAAAGCATGCCATAAATAGCTGTTATGTATCACCCTCTGAAACAACCAAGTGAGACTCTCCCCTTACCTGAGATATGTCTACCTTTTGGAAGTCTTTTGGTGCTGTCTGGGAAAGGAAAGGTGCTTAAGAACAAACTTTAATGAGCAGTGCAGTTTGTTCACTAGAGGCAGCGATTCTGAATGTGTTCCTGCCATGGTCTTATACAAGATACTAACTGTATATTATTTTACTCACTTCAAATTATCTTAGGAGGAAATTCTTTTGATTATTACAGCTGTATTAACTTTATTTCAAAAGAAATGATTCATGTGCTGTGTTTGAGAGATTGTTCCATCCATTTCGCTATAAAGGCCCTGGAACATCTGTCCCAAAGGAAATGCCACTGACCCTGATGCTAAATCTGTGACACATATATACGCAGACAGACAAAACCCATCTCCTATCGCAGGATAAACAGGAACCAATTAAACACTGAATGAGTGAAACAAAACAGAAACTGGTCGGAGAGGCATTCCAGCCTGATCAGGGGCAAAACAATGAGACACTGTGGATCCAAAGCTTACATATCGGAAGGTTGAAAAGCCTGGTTGAAAAGGAGTATTCCTTGACTTTGCTTCCTGTTAGTTTGATGATTAGCAGGATTAATGCTGTCACTGCTGGAAATTCAAACTTCTGATATCTCTCCCTAATCTCAAAGCAATAGCTGGCCCAGTCCAGTGCAGGCAAACAAGGAATAAATTCTTGCTAGACTGACCTAGTTTAGTATATCCTTCCCACTCTTCCTTGTACCCCCCAAGTGGCTTAAACCAGAAGAAGCTGTGAGAACTGGGAAGGAAACATTAGAGCAATTGTTTCACCCTATTACATCAAATCAAACCAAGAATCTTGAGCATTTGCAAAAGGACCAACATGTTGTAGCATAACTTGAAGTCCTCGGCTGAGGACTTGTCAGATCCTGAGAAGGATCTGCAACCCAAAACAGATTCTCCAAGGTCCAAAAGGGGATTAGAAGCAGTGATGTTGTCAGCGTAAGACTTCCAGTAGAAGTATAGGTTCTGCTCTGTATAATGCGTGAGGCCCCAGCAGGACTGCCTGGTCTCTTGGAAGCAAAACACACCACTGTATTAAAAAATGGGGAGGGAGGGAGAATCTATAAGGTCTAAAGATTTATATAATCTTTATATGATTTCCTTCATAAAATCATTAACTGTCTCACTGGAAAGGATTTCAAAACAGGAGGTCCAAATTGAAAAAAGAGGTGGCCTATTTTTGCCCCAATAGCCAATTTCTAACAGGATTGCTCTGTTCCTCTAAAAGAAGTCAGGGAAGGAGGAAGTATTTTGCAACAGTTTAGTAACTGTTTGATATTTACATGCTCTGGGGAGAGTGCTGCGAGTTTGGGATAAGGTCCAAATCAAAGGATGCTGTAGTCAACTTGCCATCTGGCACCTTGAACTTATTGGCTGAAAGTATTATTCACAGGGAATTTTTAAAAAGAGCAAAAAGAGCAAGGATGAATTGAACAGAGAATATGCATACAATCGCATTTGGTTTCTTTCCAGAGGGGGGGGGGCGGAGTATGTCTTACGAATTGGGGATCTGACATTCTCTTGGTTTTCATACACTGAGACAGGATTGTGTGACACATTGTATTTTTTTGTGCAAAGTGGAGATTTCCAGAGACTCCACATTCTGCATTCACAGGTCCACGTTCCTTCACCCACCCACCCTTCCCTTCTTTTCCCTTTCTGAGTTACAGGAGGGTTGGATGAGGGGCTGAGAGCCAGGAATCCTGGAACTCTTGAAAGAGAAAGGAGACCTGGCTGTTGAGTCGATTAGAAGCCGGACTTTTGCCTTGCTGTGAGGAAGGATTTAAAGAGTTAAGCCCTCCAACTCTGTCAGCAGGAAGCTTAGCCCAGCTCAGTCCAGCTCCTGGGAGGGCCCAAGGCAAATTATCCTCGAAGGGTCAGGTGCTCTTCTTTCTCTCGCCAACTTTCTAATCCCCACCTTCTGTGGAGAGAGGAATCAGTGGGAAGCAGGCCCATGACCAGGAGATGGAGAAGCTTTCAACCGCTTCATCTGTTCTCCCCTCCAGTAACCAGAGAGAGCAGAAATCTAATAATGTTTTGCTGAAAAAACATCTCAGACCTACCAGTGTGGGGAGAAATGGGGAGAGATAGTCTCTCTCTCTCTCTCTCTCCCTCCCTTCCTCCCTCCCTCTCTCTCTCTCTCCACTACTCCTTACTCTCCTGAATAGCTGCAAATAATTAAATCACGGCTGGGTATCCCAAAGAGGTGGGGGAAGATTGACATTTCACCAAAATTGTTGAATGAAAAGTATAGTTGGAGTGGGAGCTGGGAGGGGCGGAGAATCTAGATCTCTACATACTTGATTTCTGGTCTATTGTTGCATTGGTTAATGTAGTCGACCTTCTCTTAAGAGATTTAGATGTTATATTATGTCATGCCCTGATGCCTAAGGGATTACATAACTTCCACCGGGGTGGCGGGGTGGGAGGAGGGATGTTTCTTTATTTTTTACACAGAGTGTATCTTATATGGTGTTTTTATGGTAGAAGTTTACCAGAAAGGTAAACCAGTGATTGAATTAAAATGGTGACTGTATTTTACTTGTCTTTGGTCATACCTGTATGGCCAAGTTTATTACTGTAATTAACTGTTTTGGGAGTATAGTGACTCTTCATTGGGAAAATATGGATTGAGTAAGGGACAAAATTGAATTTGTATACAGTTAGTCCTCAGTTTACAACCACAAGTGAGCCCAATATTTCTGATGCTAAGCGAAACATTTGCTCACTGAGTTTTGCCCCATTTTACTATTTTTCTGCCCAAAATTTGTTAAGTGAATCGCCATAAATATGAGTCAGTTGCCAAGCGTCTGAATTTTGATTGCATGACCATGGGGATGCTTCAACTGTCATAAGTGTGAAAAACAGTCGTAACTCAGTGCTGTTATAACTTTGAACAGTCACTAAAATGAACTGTTGTAAATGGAAGACTACTTGCTTCATTCTTTAAAATAAGCACTTGAAAAATGGGGCAAGTTAAATTATACTAGCTTCATTAAATATCTTGAAAAAAAGCCCATTTTTCTACTTCTGGGAAGAATATAAGAGGCTTAAGGCAATAATTTTTGCTCTTTTAAACCTCCTGAAACATTCCTGCTCCTTTCCATTCTTGTTATATCATTAATTCACTTATTTTCTGTGGGCCAGAAATGAGGCATCCTGTGGCTCCTGGAAACAGCTAAGAGCATCGTCCAACTGCAAGGAATTTGCCAAAGCACAGACATTTGTTTGGTATGTATTTTGCTTTCAGCAGCAAATTTTGACTAATAATCTCAGATTATTGCATACAAATCAGTGTACAACTAGAGACTTATCAGTACAGGTATTCCTCAACTTATGACCATCGATAACAATCGAGTCCCAATTTTCTGTTGCTAAGTGCAACATTTATTAAGCAAGTTTTGCTTCTTTTTACATCTTTCTTGCCATAGGGGTTAAGTGGTTAACTCCTTTGTAGTTGTTAAGCTAGTGACATGGTTGTTAAGTGAATCTGGCTTCCCCATTGACTTTGCTTGTCAGAAGGTTGCAAACGGTTATCACATGACCCCAGAATACTGCAGCCGTCATAAATATGAGTCAATTGTCAAGCTTCTGAATTTTGATCACATGTCCACAGAGAAGCTGCAACGGTTGCAACTGTGAAAAATGGTCATAAGTCACCTTTTTTAGTGTTGTAACTTCAAACGGTCACTAAATGAATTGTTGCAAGTTGAGGACTGCCTGTATTGGTATACCACCAGGTCTGTTATTCAGAATAGGGAAAATAATCAATTTTGGATTCATTCATTTCTCACACCTTATATTTGTTTGATCCTGCTTCTGCGCTGAGTTTCATTTTTTTTCTTTAAAAAGCCACTACTCAACTTTAAACATGTAATTCTTCTAATGTATGGCTTCCTGCATGCAATTTTGTCTGATAATATATTTTCATAGGCAATTTCCTTAGAATGTTTTTTTCCCCACGATTCCTGCCATGATATATGCTTTTCCCTCTCATAGGCATTTTTGTAAATATTATTTTATGGGAGAACTACAGGACTCAGAATGGTACAAATGTTGAAGTATAGCCAGGCTGTGGTCTGCCTTGTGTGGGAAGTATCGAATTAGCCCTGTGCACCAAATTAAGTTTTTTTTAACTTGCTTTAATTTTTATTTAAAAAATACAGTGACTTTAAAATAAAATAAAATGTAATGAAATAAGGTTAGAAGGGTCAACTATATCCATAGTTACCTCTTCCATGTGGCTAATTCCTTTTTTGTATGATGTGCATATATGTCTTTGAATATGGATAAAATGCAGAGCCTTAATTAGCAAAGCTTCCTACTTGATTGGGGGGAATGTGCTACTGTGGGTAGGTGTTATGGAGCTCAGGTCTGCAGTGGCTACAGGTGGCTCTGCAGGTGCTGAGTGAGCCAGCCAGGACTGCAACTGAGTGGGTGGTCCTGTGGACAGATATATGCTTCAGAGTGCAAGTAGACAGGAGGGGCTGCTAGGCATTACAGATAGTCCTCAACTTAACAACAGTTCATTTAGTGACCATTCTAAGTTACAACCAGTGGTGGGATTCAGCCGGTTTGCACCAGTTTGGGCGAACCGGTTGTTAACCACCAGCCTACCCATACCTATCCCAGTTGTCAAAGTGAATCCTGGACACTGCGCTACAGTGGAGAAACGGGCGATGGAGCAGCCGGTGTGAGGGAAGGAATAGGCCACTTTCCCTCTTTCTTCTCCCTGGTCCTCTTTCCCCCTCGTGCCAGCTACTCCGTTGCCTGTTTCTCCACTGCAGGCAGTGCCCAGGATCCACTTTGATAGCCGGGGGAAGTGTAATTTAACAACCGGTTTGCCCAGGGCCCTGCATTCATGGCTGAGCTGGAGGACGGGGATGGGCCATGCCTCCCATGACAGCCAACCTGACCCTGGGTGAACTGGTTGTTAAATTATTTGAATCCCACCACTGGTTACAACAGCACTGAAAAAAAGTGACTTATGACTGGTTTTCACACAACCATTGCAGCATCCCATGATCACGTGATCAAAATCCAGGTGCTTGTCAGCTGACTGTCATTTATTATGGTTGCAGTGTCTCGGGGTCATGTGATCACCTTTTGTGACTTCCTGGCAAGCAAAGTCAATGGGGAAGCTAAATCCACTCAATAACTGTGTTACTAACTTAAGAACCGCAGTGATTCACTTAACAGCTGTGGCAAGAAAGGTCACTAATAAAGGCAAAGCCCACTTTAAAAGTCTCACTTAGCAACAGGAATGTTGGGCTCAATTGTGGCTAAGTCAAGGACTGCCCGTACAGAGTGTAGATGGATACGATGGAGTACAATATCCCTGGAATTCCTAATGCTGTTGTAGGATTCCTCAGGAGAAAAAAAACCCAGCAGGAGCAAGAGATTTTGCTTATAAAAACCCAGCAGGGAAGGTCACAAATGGAGATCATGTGACTGTGGGATATTGTAAATTTGAGCTGTTTTGCCAAGTGTCCAAACTGCAAGCGCGTGATGGGGGGAGGCGTGCTGGAGCAGCCGGATCTTCAAGGACCATTCATAAACACGGAACCACTCGTTCAGTTTTGTAAGTTTGAACAGTCGCTGAATGAACGGTTGTAACCTAAGGACCACTTGTATTGGAGACTTTAGAGTGGCAGGCATCAGATGAGGTAATTGGACGTTAGCTTGGGTTCAGTTTGAAAGGTCAAGATCCAGAATGTGCAGCTTAATAAGAGGAGTAAGGATACCGAAACTTTAGGCCCGCCGTCTATTTTGAAAATTCTCTGCAGGCGATTCATGTAGATGTGTTTTTTGTGTATCTATTCCTTCCCTGTCACCTGCTGCTTACAAAAGAAGCAAGAAGATCTTCTTTAAAAATGGAAGGGGGAAAAAGAGTATTACAATGAAAACAGACCATTGGACTCACTGCATCATTCCATACTAAATACTCCTTCTGGGATTTTAGTCCTTCACACAGAAAATGTCTTGGCTTTAGAGGCAGAGATCCTGGAAACACTTTGCCTTTTGTCCTCTCTGGATAGCTACTGAGCCAGCAGCTGTAGTATAGTTGTCTTGCATTGGTGACCTGCAAGCTCCCCTTGTCTTTTACTTTACACAATGCTTGTCTTTGTTCCCAGGATGTGTAAGTGTGCTGTGGCTATATGTCTGAAATTATGAAGCAGTGAATGTATGGAAGCATTGTTAAGCTGCAGCTGTTTCTGAGATGGGGGGACAAAGTTGATAGTATTATTCCTCACCTAGACAAAATGATTGTAGACTAGAGGGATTTGTAATATTGTGTTTTGTTTTGTTTTTGTCTCTTTGGTAAGATCAAGGTAGCATTTATGATCTTTTTGCCAAGGGAGGGAGGGAGTGGGGGAGAGAGAGAGAGAGAGAGAGAGACTCATGCTTCGTTGTCACTGGCGAAATTTAGGGTTAAGGCATTTGTAGCTAGATCTCCCTTACCAGATCCAGCAATATGACTTAGCAACTGGCATCTCAACTGCTTTGGGTATCAGAGAACCCACTGAATCCCAAAAGGGCATTCAAACTCCCTGCCCCTCCCCGAATAAAAATGGCTACCATCTCACATAACTAAAAATCCTATAAAATCCAGCATTCGTGCGTGAAGTCTACATGATCTGGACATTCTTGTATGAGTTCTCCAAAAATCTGGTGGATCTCCTGAGATGGTGGCTACTTTTGATTTAAAAAGAATACGGTATATTGTGAAGAGATCACAATAGGCCATCATGTGATGGTATCCAGGATCTGAAAAGGTGGTGTACCCCTGTCCTGATCTGTTTCAGCTCTCTCAGCTTAATATCTCTCCAGATGTGTTGGAGGGCAATCTTTAACACCTCTATTCTGGCTGGCGAAGGCCACTTTATGTACTATGCAATAGCCATAGGAATGTGTTCTTCAAAGGAGAGAAATGGCTGCTTCTTAAACTTGTTTATGCTCCAAGTGGCCACCTCTGCTTGCAGGAGATTGCTATTTATAACTGCGATCTCTCAACGAGCTGCTCCTGCACCAGCTCTCAGTTTGGAGGAGGAGAACAAAGGAGCAGTGGCAAAGGAGGCCCACTCCATTATTGACCATGGAGGAAGAAAATTGTATGGGAGAATTCAGAGCAAATATTTGTTTCTTTGCCTGCAGACTTGACAAAGCAAGTTTCCTGTAGCAGGAAACCCCAGGCACTGCACTGCAGTATTGTATAAAGAAACTTAGCCAGGAAAGATTTATTTCACATCAATTCTTCTCCAGCTTTTTATTTTCTTTTTGTTCTAGAGTTGAAAGAGTTTCAGGCGTGACTTTCTCATTCATCTGATATTAGTGCGGCTTCTGCACTGGGATTCTCTGGGATTCCATGTCAAACACAGAATTTTATATCAATATCGTTTTTCTTAAATCTTAAATCAGCTGGTGCTGAAAACCGAACAGCATATAGTTGTGGTTTACTCAGAGCTCTTAGTGTTGTGCTGTGGGAATTGTACGCCGCTTGGAAGTTTGCAAACTTTAGTCCACCTCAGTCACAAAAGTGGCCTTTGGTGAAACTACAGTCAAACTACAAGGCAACAGGTTTTGGTGTTGGGCAATTACAGGACATGCTATGATTATGAATGTGCTTTGAATATAGGGCCCAGCAATAGTGAGCAGTGTGATAACAGTCTCCCCATCTCTTTTCAAACCTGCCAAGCAAAAGAGTGGAATTCCAAATCTGTTATTTATGTTTTTATTTTCTGTCCCTGATAATGCCTGTGTGGTATTCAAATAGGCTCCTTGCAAATTTGACCTATCATTTTTCTTCCTTTTCTTTCTTATTGCTTGTCATTGTTCTGTTTCAAAAACCACAACTGTAATGGGCGGCAGTAAAGTGCATCTGAGATCACAATGTGGTGATGCCTCCAAATACAGCACCCTAGATAAATGTCAACAGAAATAGGAAGGCTTCCAGTATTTTTGCTCAGACACTTTGGATGCCAAATAACGTAGACTATTCTTTCCCAAAAGCATAAGGATTTCTTTTCCATCCTGGTACTTTTTATACTAAGATTTCTGGGGCAGTTGGGCAAGACTGGTGTAAAGGCTTCTGAATTCAACCTAGAAAACTTTAATCTTTTTTGTAACCCACCACCGAGAATGATTGTGCATGAATTTTTAATTTCTGTGCTGCATGGCCTGTGTGGCCGGGATGATTAAGCAGCCAGCCTTCGCTGTCTTCCCCTTGACAA